AAAAATAAGTGGGGATCTATGTGCTTTTGAGACATACAGACAATTGTGAGCACGGGCATAGCACGGATCCACATTCTGAGACCCCGAGGCCCACACACCCCACAGGATACATGCTTCGACATATGTGAGCACTGCAACAAGGGAGTACATACTTGAACCCAGTTGCCCACATGAGAGCTGTTGGTGTGGATTTTGTGGCCCAAGTCTCTTGGGCAATCACGTGGACAGCACACTACAGAAATGGACCTATAACCCTAAGACACACATGGCCCCATGCAGGGGAATTCCAGTTTAACCCCTGAAATACATGCTTGAGTACACCATGATCCCGACCACAGAAAGGTATCCCCATATCTCAGAAGCACAAACATCCTTTCATTCATGTGAAAAGTACAACCATATCCACTCTGTTTCGGGACAACCCCCTTTCCTCCCCCAGCCCTTCCCTCACTCTAACACAGGCATCTGAGATTGCCACCAGAGTAAAGAAAAACCAGGAGCAAATGTGTTAATTATCCTTCTGTTACACACTAAGCAATGCATCCAACGGTTCAGGATATCTTTCCCTAGTAACATTTTTCTGCATTTCTCAGGTATGGCTGCCTCACTCTCATTTCAGGGAACTGAAATGAGCTCAGCCATGATTTTTACGTGAAAGCTCATCTAATAAAGGCATAAAGTCTAACTTTAAATGCATTGAAATTCTGCTTTGGAACTAAAGCATTAACAGAAGAACAAATTTGCTAATTGGCTTGCTTGGTTCTTGGAAGTAACGTAACCTTACACATATTACCAAGAACTAAGATCCATGAACTCACTCATAAGTCACAGGTACACAGAGGCCACTTACACATATACTTATTAAAGACTTTTGTTGCCACAGGAAAAGAATAGCAGAAACACGCAGAAAAGGGGGGCAGAGTGACAGAAACCCAGAACATCCTGTTATTAGTGCTGCATGCAGTGACATGTACAGAGAAAACAACACACACCTGTGTACACACACACACAGCAAACCTGAAAAGCATACACAGTGATTCTGGGTCTCCATGTCCCATGCCTGCATGATGTATACACGCATGCACACACATAACAGCCACCTACACAAACCCGTAACACAGGCATTGTGCATACACCCACACATGTACACACCCTGTGTACACACACAATGGCACTCACACACACGCAGCAAGGGATTGGTCTCCTGCCCCTCCGACATCTCTAATCTTGCCATCACCCACAGAATCTCCCCCTGCCCTCCAATCCCCCAAATCCCTAACCTTCCCTTTGGCCTTTCTTCCTCTACACACCCAACTGGCAGCTCTCAAGGGAGGCCAGGGGAGGGAGGTTGCCAGAGAAGGGTGAAGAACAGGGTTGGACACAGAGCAGAGAAATGGGAGACAGAGCTCTGTGCTGGGAATATGAACCTCTCATGACGGTCCCTGCCATGACAGGCCTCACTGTGAGCCAGACTATATGCCTGAGTGGCCTCCCCTGATCCAACCAAGCCTGATCCTACAGGGCCTACTAGAATCCAATGCCTTCTCCCATCTTTCTCCCTTTCTTCTTTCAGAGATCACTTTATCAGAAGGCCTGACTCTCTCCTCTCCACTGCCTCCCCAGTTCCCAGGCCCCTTCTCCCACCATTTCCATCCAGTTCCCCATCTTAGGCTCTTATCACCCTGTTCTCTCTTCTAAGTCTGGCTCGGCTCTCTCCCACATTCCCATTCTCCAGCTATTCTTCCTGGCCTGCTCTCTGCTCTCTTCTTCAAGCCTCTCTCCTTCCTTCTCTCCTATCTCCTCCCTACTTTTCCTCTTTACCCCATTTCTTCCCTTTCTGAGCTTTTCTGTCCCTACTTCCTGACCAAGCAGGGCTCACACCTGCCCAGCCCAAAGGTGTTTCATACACAGTAGGATTCCAAGGAACACATTCACACACTTACTCCCCTCAACACATCACCCACATCCAGACACGCCCTGGACACCCATGCTGGGATTGGCACAGATACTCAGGCCAGTGCTGGAACACACATGCAAAGACACACACCTGCCACCAGGAACACAGAAAATCCTGCTCATAGGGCCACACATTCCCACACACAGAAGGCGGACAGGAGGTGAGCCCCAGCCAGGGACATGCATGCTCAGGGTCAGAGGTGACATGGACCAGCATGGCCGCGAACTGCCCCACAAGCCCGTGGCTGGCCCAAGAGCAGGAAACAGGCAAAGTCAGGATAAGACAGGACACACCTGCACAAGGCTGGCTGCACATGTGTGCACGAGGAACCGGGCCCCCGTGTGCACATGGCACCGACACACAGGAGACACGAGCATGAACACGAACACACACGCGGCCACACGGGCTGCCCCTTCCACCAGGGTCTCCAAGATCCCACACACATCGGCCGCCCCCGCCTGCCCGAGACCCTGCCCGCACGAGGCCAGTCCCCGACACCACCCCCCGACCTCCGCTGCCCCCCTCCAGTTACCATAACTCCCCCCACTCGGAAGATGCAGCGAGAACATGCGGAGGGAGCAGCTGCCGCCGCCGCCGCCGCCACCGCGGCTTCCCCACCCCCCTCCCCGCGCCCACGCACACGCGCGCCCCCGCCCCATGCGCGCGGCGGCCCCCCCACCACGCGCGCTCCTAGTCCACCCGGCCCCGCCCTTACCTCGCACCGCCCCCCGGGGGGGTTCGGGGGTGTCCCCGGTGGGGGAGGGGCCCCGCCCCTGCGCGGGGGAAGGGCGGGGTGCGGAGGGAGAGGGGGCGGTACGGCCCGGCTCGCGCCGCCCGGCGCGGTGTGGGCGGCGGCGGGGCCCGGGACGGCCGGGACGGCCGCGCGGTGACGGCCGCGGGAACGGCTCCCTCCGCCGCCGCTCCCGCCGCTGCCGCCGTTGCCCGGGCCCCGCCGCCGTTGCTAGGCGACCGCTGCTGCCGTGGCCGCCTCTGTCACGAGCCCTGTCGCCCGGAGACAGCGCGAGAGAGACGGGGGAGGGGGGCAAGGGGACCCCCAAAACAAACCAGGCCACCCACCATCCCCTCCTGAGCAGGACCCCCCCACACACACACACAAAACCGCGGAGAGAACGAGGGTTCGCGGCTCCACCCAGCAGAGGAGGAGCCCTGGTTTCCAATGCCCCTCAAAGGTCCGGCGACCTCTCCCGGGCTGGAGAGTCCACAGCCTCAGCAAACACCTTTGCATCGCCAAGTCCCCAAGGTCCCAACGACCCGTATGTCCACTGCACATCCTCCACGCCCTTTACACATTCCATGTCTCCCTGAAGACTCTAAACGTTCAGCATCTATCAACTTTCACTAAGCCCTTCCCCCAAATACATGTGTCCCTGGACCTCCTCCCAGCCCGTACTGAACCCCAATACAGCAACTTCCACATGCCACCTCAACTCCAAACACACTTGATGTCCCCACTCAAAACACACGGGAGACCCCCGCCAGAGACCCCTAGACCCCGAGGACTCAGGATAAGGAGAAAGATGGGGAATAAGTGGGCAGATCTGCCAACCATAGGACACATGAGAAACATGCTCTGTGAGCACGTGACCATTCTGGCCTGGAAACGCAGGTATACACAAGTGCACACAAACACACACATCTTCCCCAGACATGAACATGACATACACACATATACATAATACACACAGATGTGACAGACATCACACACATTCTCTGTATACACTCCACCACCACCTGGCTTTGCCTCACAGAGATGTGCTACCCACACGCCCCCATGGTATGGGGTTTCCATGACAATGACACACATCCCTGACCACCCACCCACCCCCACCCAAGGTCCCAAAACCTGCCCACAAGGCTAGTATGGCCTGGACCTATCAGAAGGCTGGAAGGAGCCAAAGGATGGGGACAGGTCACTGGCTCTCTAAGGGAAAGAAACTGGTAGCCTGAATTCTTGAGGGGGGGGCGCTGGTGGGGAAAAGGGGTCACCTGGGGGATTGGAGGAATGGGGAACCTGGATCGCTGGGTCCTAGAAGGAAAATGTAGTGGAAAGGGGCAGTGACGAGGGGGTTTCCGGGGGCTGAGGGCGTCTCTCTGCACCTTGGCTGCAGATCTCTGTTCTCTGCCTTCATCTCCCCTCACTGTTCCCATGGAAACCTTTTAAGCGAACTTCTCAGGAAGACAAAAATCTTTTTTTAAATGACTAAAGAGGGGGTTGGGGGGGGCAGAAAGGGAGAGGGAGGGGAAGAGACAGATGGAGAGAGGGAGAGAGTTGGAGAGACAGACCGAGCAGAGAGCTCTACAGACAGAAAGGAGATGAGATGGGAGTCTGATGGACTTTCACCAGGAGCAAAGGGGAGGGACGGGGTAATCAAGAGGGGTACAGAAAATAAGAGAAATCAGGGAGGAAAGAAAAAGGGGGTGATACAATTGCAGAAAATAGAAGCAGTTGATAAGAGGAGAAAAAAGGGGGCAAGAAAAGGGGACCTCAAGGCCTGAAGGTCCGGAGGAAGAATCAGGAGCGTAGGGGTGGGGCAGAGGTCTGTGGGGAGGGCAGGAACTAGGTCACTCTCTCCAACATCCCAGACCATGGGCAGGGAGGGGCAGGGGCAGGAACACACGGACTGGAAGCTAAAGATCTAAGGAGACTATTTTTACAAGCACCAGGAAAATAGTCAAACTTCGCCGCTGGAGAGGAGAAAGGGAGCGAATCCGAGCGAGGACCCACAGGGTTCTCACCCACAGCCCCAGTCGCGCTCCACCTTCCAAAGGAGGGCGCCGTCTCCCCTCGGGAAACGAGAGTTTGTCTCCGCCTCCTCCCGCCCCCGGCCAGCTCCCGCAGCTCCCCGACGCCCCCACTCCCCCCACCCCAGTCCGGTCCACCTTCAGCCCTCTCCCCGCGCCTGTCCGGGGCACGAGAGCCTGTTCGGCCGCCGTACCATGCTCGCCGTGGGGCCGCCCCTCCACTGGCACGGAGACTGTGCGTCTCAGCAGTTTGTTGCGACTGGACTCGCTCCTCCGGTCCCGGATCAGTAGGGGGTGTATCTAAGGGAGGTGGGGGTGTGTCAGACCTCCCTGACCCACGCCGCCCCTCCCCTCCCTCTACCCCCTCTCCGCCCCCTCCCAGGAAGGGCGGGCCTCCCTTCCCCAAGCCTGCCCACCTTCTGCCCCGGCCCACCACAGTTGGTGAGTGGATCTCTCCCTTCTCTCCCCCAGTCTCTCTCTCTCTCTCATTCCTTCCCGTCCCACCCTCTTTTCTCCCTCCATTTATCTTGAAACACCTTCCTGAGAATTCTCCCAAGCCCTACACAGCTCTTCTGCAACTCCTCAGAAGTTAGCTACTTCCTGAATCCAGGTTTCCCTTGACCTTCAGTTCCTCCATTCTCCCTGCTTTCCTCCCAACCTCCCACCTCCCTTACCCCCTTCTCTCCCTCCGAGCCTGTCACGGGGGTAGCAGAAGCTGCATTTATAATCAGGATCCACAGCTTGTCTCCCTCCCACGGCCCGGCTTGCGGCCAGACTGGGACCCAACCTCCCCTCCCCCCAGAGGGCCTGGTCACCTTCCCCCACCTTTCATCTCCTTCCATCACCCGGTCCAACATCTCTCAGTTCCCTTCTTCCCCTCAGCCATCACCTTTCCCTAAGCTTCACACCCCACTCCCCCATCCAGCTCCATCCCTACCAACATACATCTCCGCCCCTCCGGTCTCTTCCATCTCTACCAGGAGCCACAGGAACAGACCCCTCACTATCCCCAGCCCCAGTTCCACAACCCATCCAATTCCAACTCCCTGTGTCTGTTCAGGCTGCTCCTTTTCCCAATTCCATCTACTCCCCTCCCACACACATGCCCTTCCTACTCCAGACTGGCCGTTCCTGTTGCCCCTCAGCTTGCTGGCCACTGGTCCCTTCAATCTGTCCCTATCTCAGTCATTCCTTCATCCATTGTCTTCCCTCTTCAGACCTGTGAGTTCCCACTCGTGGTTCCAGTTTCCCCTATTTCTCCTACAGACTCCAAACCCCTCAAATGTCTCCCAGTGGTGTCCAAAACTTAGACTCCCCAAGCCACCTCTCCTTTCAAAGTTGACATAGCCTCTCCTTAACACTTCTGCTTTACTCTGTAGCTTGGAAGCTGTCTACCCAGCCGTCTCTCCACACTCTCACTGCCCCGACAGGTCCGTTGACACTCTAGTTAGCCCTCACTCAAATTCTAACCCTTCCTCACCACACCATTCCCAACAGCTTTCAGGGCCCATCTCTCACCACATTTGGTTTCCCAGGCTACCCTACCATTTTTTAAAACTTGTCCCCCAAATCACCCCCATTCCCTGACTCACACTTGTGGGCCGCCCTTCCAGTTTGCATCCTCTATTTCCTCTGATGGACACTCCTGCTGACCCAGCTCCCAAATCAGAACCCACACTCCTCTGGCTCTCAGATCTCCACACCTGGCCACCACCTCCCATAAGAGGCCTCTCTGTCCATTTCATCTCCTTTACTCTGGCTAGTCCCTGCCCCTACTCCACTCCTACCCCTTTAGATAACTCCACATACTCCCAGTTCCGCTCCCTTATATTCCTTCCTGATATCTAACCAGTGCCTTGCAGAAACCCTCTCAGTGTCTCTTGAAACCTTGATCTCAGTCACCCTCCCAGTCTTCACCCCCGTCATGCCAAGATCCGCTGTCCTCGGTCTTCTCTCCCAGTACCCTCCAGCTACCTAAAACCTCCTCTGTCTCCTGCCTTTTCTCTGGGTCCTGCAATTTCTCCTCCCTGCACTCTGCCCCCAGATGGAGAAAGAACTGAGAGACTTGCTTAGTGGGCAAAGTGGAGAGGGGTCCTGAGGATTGCTTTGGTGGGGAGGGCTTTCCCTTTCTTCACCCCTTCTCCAAACCCTTCAGTTCCCCTTCCCCATTCTAACCTATCCTACAATATGAACAGTGTGAAAACAGGAACCCTCCACCCCCCAAATCTTCAGAACCACATCTCCTCCCCAACACAGCTCATGACCCTCAAAGACCCCCTGGCCAAGGTGAGAGAATGACTACCCCTCTTGTCACATTCCAAACCAAGTCTCAGTGGCCACCCTCCTGCCATTTGCAAATGTTTCCTGTCTGCCTTCTTTGTGTCTCTCTCCCCTTCACTAATGAGGACTCTCCCCATTCTCCTACATGCCCTTTCCCAACCTTCCCACCCCACTCACCTCGTCCTCATCCAGCATGAGCAGCTGGTTCCCCGAGATGATGCAGAACCGAGGGTTCCAACCAGGACGATCATACGGAGAATGAACGTATTGGGTTCGGTGCATAGAGGGTCCCCGTACATCTGGGGGACAGAGACACACAGAAACAGTAAGGGAGACTGCATTTGGACACAGAGGCCTAAAATGGCAAGAAGAGAGTCTACAAAGTGAAAAGGGGACCCCACCGGCCTTGAGGAGATCACAGTTGAAAGTGAAGCACCTGGCAACTCTAAAGGAACACAAGACAAGTGTTTATACATGGGGAAAAGAGGAGAGGATCACATCACAGAAGGCTCTGGAGACTTGGGGGAAGAAATGCAGAGGTTCAGGGATGGGAATTATATGACAGAGAAGGTACATGTTTTGGAGCAGAGAAAGATGAAAGAGCTCTCCATCTACTTCAGAAAAATAACATGGAGGTGCTGCAGAACTGGCAGGAGAAAAACACAGAGAGGTTGGTGTCAGATATCTGGGTAAAGGAAAGCATCCAAATAGCTGCAGAAGACAAGGACTTGGAGGTGGCACCAACCCTCTGTAAAGAGTATGAGGAAAGCCACACAGCTGTGGGAAAGAAGGATGGGCCGTGTGTGTGTGTGTGTGTGTAGGAACATTGCGATCATGAGATTCTGAGGGCTAAATATCTAGAAAAGAGAGGAAGTGGGGGAGCTTACCTGTTCACAGAGTCAGAGACATGAGAGGGCCTCCCCTCCCACCTCTCCTTCCTCCTCTGTGCCCTCCTCCCCTAGTTCAACCCTGTTCATCCTTTGGGGAAAGTTCTGGTTCTTCTGGTGGTAAGGAGAAGATGGCTTTTGTCGGCATCTGGCTGTGGAGGGGCCAGGGCAGAAGGTGGGAAATATGCCTTTGTTTGGACGAGTAGAGACCAAATTGATTTCTTCTCCCATTCAGTGCCCAGAGAGTCAACACTGCCCCCACCACTGTACCCCACCTAGTCTCAATGGACAGGATGGAAGCCCCTCCACAGGTTAGGAGCCTTCCCAAGGCACAGTGAGGAGCCTGAGGAAGAAAGGGGTCAGGGGAAAGAATGGAATATCCAGGCCTGGTGGCACAGAGGGGCCTCCAAAGATGACAGGTGGAGATGGGAACAAAACTTTTAGAAGAGAGAATAGTAGACCAAGTGTCACCCATGGCTGAGATGACCTCAGGGTCCTCCTTCCCCAGCTCTGCTGTTCTTCTTTACCATGCCCCTCTCCCTGCAAACTGCCTCTCCTTTAAACCCCAATGCCACACAGGCCCTATTGAAGTAAGACAGATGTCACATTGGTGACATCAAAGAGATAGAAATTAGGCTTAAGGTATCAGAGAGATTTTAGAGGGAAAAAAAATCAAACTCTGTCACCTTTATGAGATAACTAACCATGATTATATTGCAGGAGAACTGGTCTTTGAGCTTTATTCCAACAGAATGCCCTGAGTAAGAGAGTTTTGAAAATTCAGCCCTTTTCTGTCTATAAATGTCTCTCAAATTTATGCAACCTCCAGATCACAGTGAGCGATGAGCCCTCAGAATGTCCACCATCTAGAAATCACAATACTTTGAAACTCTATCTCATCTCAGAGACTAACTAATGTTCAGAGATCACCGATACCTAGCCTCAGACTGCAGACATTGTAGGCAACATGCCCACCACACTTAGACACTTGGTACACCCAGAGGAGAAATCTGTCGATACACATCAGCAATTTGGGAAAGGACTGGTTCAGGCTGCAGCCAAAGGAGGCAGGTTAGACTTCAGAGGACATCTTTCTCCTGGGAGCGGGGAACTTAGCTTAGGAACAACTCTAGAAACACACACACACACACACACACATACACACACACAAATACCGTCTGGACTTGGTAAAGAATGATTCTGGGAGGCAGATGCAAGAGGCTGAGGAACATGGCTAAGAAAGATGGAAATTTTACTAGGATGAGAAATCCCGCAAGGGCTGAAATGGGGAACCCTTATTCTAACCATCAAAACCTGTGTATTTGTACCCCAAATCTCCAACACCCCAATAAGTAGAGATGACAAGAAAAGAATGGTAATAAGAGTTGAGGTATTAAGGGAAAGTGGGTAGGCACAGACTTGTGTTGACAAGGAGTGGGGAAGGAAATATAGAATGGCCTGGGGGACATATAATAGGAATGGATATAAAAGAAAAAGAGGCAGAAATGATGGTAAATGCCTAGGGGCAAGGAAATATACCTGAAGGGCTCGACTGGACATGTATCAGAGCAAATAAGGCAGACCTAATGGGGGGGCTATGACAAGGGGTCAAGACAGACTAGTAGAGAAGCGATAGAGATATAAGGGCACTACCACATAGAAAAGAGATAGAGAAAGGCAATGGACACCAGAGAGGGGACTGATATAGGGGAAGGACAGAAGGGGGACTCATATAAGGAACGGACACCATATGGGGGGAAAGATATAGGTGATGGACAGCAGAGGAGGGAGGGGGAATGGAAATAAGGATTGGAGGGGTGGGGGAAGGCGGTAAAAGTGATGAAGTGAAGACAGCATTAAGACCCCAGAGGTTACATTTCACTGGTCAAGAGGCTTTATGAGGGTCAGAGTGTGGGGCAGAATCCTAACCTGTCCCCTACTCCCATCACTTAATCTTACTTGTATTGCCTCCCCCCCAAGCACACATAATTTGGCCCTCCCCCTGCCCTGGTCTCCCCTCCCCCATCCCATTCCATCTCTCTCCTCTCTTCCCTCCATCTGGACCCTCCATCCCCCCCCCACCACCACTGCCTCCCTCTCTCTCCATCTGGCCCCTTCTCTCCCTCCATCCTCCTCTCTTTTTCCACCCCTTACCATACTCTGAGTCCCCCACCAAATTCTCCCCCATCTTCTTGGCTTCTCTTTTCACCCCTGTGTTTTCATTTCTCCCTCCTAGCCCCTCTCCCAAGACTCTGTCCCTCTATTTCCTTGATGTTTTCCTCATCACTCAGCTCCCACCCCCAAATTATTTCTGTAGCTTTTTCCCCAACCCAATCCTTCTACCTTCCCACCCCTTTCTGGCGCTTTCTTTCCCCTTCATCATTTTCCCTTCAGCCCCCTTTCAAGGCCCATTTCCTGGCCCCTCCGTTTCTTATCTACCCCTATCCCTCTGGCCTCCAATCCCTTCTTCCCGTTGCTCCCACCCCTGCCTTCCCGGTCCTCCCCTCTCCCTCCATTTCAGCCGCTCCCCTCCCTTGGTCCCGACTCTCCCCCGCCCCCTGCCCCTCCCCCTGTTGCCCCCCATATGGCCCTCCCCCTCCCCCCGCCACCGTACCTCTGAAGGGGGCATAGGACATCGCGGGGATGCTCCCCCGATGGATGGAGGCGCGAGACCTGCTCATCAGGCCTGGGGGGAGGGGGCGGGGGGACGGGGGAGAAAGAAGAGAGAAAGAGGGGGAGAAAGAGGGGGAGAAGGAGGAGGAGGTGGAGGAGGAGGAGGAGGAGAGAGGAGGAGAGAGGAGCAGAGAGAAGCAGAGAGGAGGAGAGAGGAGGAGGAGGAGGAGAATAAGAGCCAACGGCAGCAGCGGCAGCCGAGAGAGAGGGGGGGCGGGGGAGCGAGCGAGAGCGAAGAGAGCAGGAGGAGGAGGAGGAGGGAGAGACTCTGCAGCCCCCACCCCTACTCGAAGAGGCCCAGACTGTGAGAGAGAGAGACCCCTAACTCAAAAACACACCAGAGAGAGCCGGAGGTCCTAAAGATACAGACCCCAGACCCTGAGAAGGAGAGACCCTAGACCCACAGAGAGAGATACTTCACCACCCCCCACCGTGGGTTAATTTGAGACACAGGCCCAAAATCTAGAGGAAAAGAGACTCCTGATTTGAGGAAAAAAACGACCCCAGATCCCCCAGAGAGAGAAGCCAAATATCAAAATCTGAGAATCCAGTCTCAAAAGGGTTCTCCATATCCACAGACATCTTAGACTCCAGACCCTGAGATGATGATTTCAGGGACCAAGACCTGCAACTTCATCAGAAAAAGATGAAGCCCAGATTCAGAAAGAGTCAGATCTAGAATTAGAGCTTAGAGAACTCAGACCTAGAAAGAGACCCCAGACTCAGATCTCAGAGACAGAGACACTCCAGACTTAAGGAGAGACAGAGAGAGACACTCAGCTGGTCAGGAGCTGGACAATTCAGAGACCCAAAATTCATGAAGAAGAATCAGAGAGTGCGACCACAGACCCTGAAACATAGAAACCCCCAAAACAAAGGAAACTCAGTCCTAAGAAATATCTCCGCACGAACACTGAAAGACTCCACTGAAATCCAACTCAGAGACAAACTCCAAACTCAAAGACAGAGATCTCAGGGATCCTCCCCTCCCCTCTTCCCTGCCCTGGAACCTCGGAGAGGTAGAACCCTGACGTCAGCCTGGGAAACTCCGAGGCATCCCCACCACCAGACCAATGACCTCAGACCTTGAAGGGAGGGGGAATACTGGGTAGGGGCAGCGGCAAGAGCTTTTTTCTCTGCTGCCTCCTCCCACCTCTCTGCCTCGCATTGGCCCCTCTCTCCATTTTTGGGTCACAGGATGCGCTTGGGCCCCAGGGATGTTATGTAGGGCAGGTCCTGGCTCCTTGGGGGATGGGTTGGGGAAAGGAGACCCAAGGCTGAGAGGTGGATCAATCCTGGGGAGTGGAATAAGCAGGGAAGAGGGGACAGAAGGACCATCAGCACTATCCCCATTCTGCAGCCCTCATTCTCCTTCCCTCGATTCAGCAGTCTGTCTCAAGCCTTGGGTTTTCAATTAAGATGGCTAGGCCCCATTTTCACCATCCTCTACCCCACGCACAGGGTGTCGTTCTGTTCTTTTAAAATGCATCTTTCCTCACCTAGCCATTGTCTTGCTATGCCCGTGCCTCCCTAATCACTTCCCCTACCAAGGGACAGCGGGCTTCTCAGATCACCGTGGTTCATTCCCAAACCCAAGCATATCTCTGTCCCAACTAAAAGGGCAGGGGGCGCTCTCTTCACCCCAGAGGTTGGGGTGGAGGGTCCTTCTCAGACCCTCCCACTCCTTGAGACCTGGGAAACAGTGCAGGGGAGGTCACTAGGCACATTGTGGGGTTTAAGGATCATTCCCCACTCCACAGCTTGACGCATCGACTCTGCGGGGTCTCCGGCCCCCCTTTCCTGGGCCAGCTCTCGCCTCACGTGGCCTGCGGGGCTGGCCTGCCATTGGCCACTTCGCGTCACTCACTGAGTGCCGCCGCCAGAGAGGCCCGGCCCCCTCACGTGACAGTGGAACGCCGCAGCGGCTCTCCTCCGCCAGCAAGTGGCAATTTCGGGTTCACACGGAAACCGGCGTGCCATTTCCGCGCACGTCTGCAGATCCGGCGGTCGATTGGTCAAGTCTCGCATCGCTCCTCCCTCATCAGGAGGCGGGCAAACCGCGCCACGTGAGGGCCGGGATTGGCTGGCTCTGGAGGCGCGGGTGGTCCGGCTTCTGTCACATGGGCGCGCCGTTTTCTTATCACGTGGCTGCCACCCAGGTAAGAAGAGGCCGCTCTTCCTGGGGTTGTTTCTCCGTGTGACGTGTGGCCTTTGAGATCAACTCTCCTCTACCAGCGTAGGCCGCATGAGTGGGGGGCGGGCGCCCGCGGTCCTGCTCGGCGGAGTGGTGAGTGACCGGCCCCGCCCCGCCCCTTCCGGTCCTCGAGGCCTCGACCCTACCTGCACCCCAAATCCCAGAGGTTGGCTCCCAGAGGTGTGAATGAAAACTGAGCCTTTGCCCTACTTTTCCAAGTTTCTCTCTCACCTTCAGGGGCATTCTTCGGGGTGCATTAGAGGGAGTGCAGACAGCCTGGGTATCTAAGCGAAGGCTTCCCCGGGTGTAATTTCCTGGGCTGTTTGTGAGGAGAGACTGAATTCGACCCCTGCTCTCAGGCCTCTCTGCTCCTGTCTTTTGTTTGGATGCCGGTGCTGTTGCCTGTGGCCTCCCGCCTTCTGTTGTTACCCCGAGCCCTGCTGACCATGGCCTCTGGAAGCCCTCCAACCCAGCCCTCGCCGGCCTCGGGCTCTGGCTCCGGCTACGTTCCGGGCTCGGTCTCTGCAGCCTTTGTCACCTGCCCCAACGAGAAGGTCGCCAAGGAGATCGCCAGGTAGGGACCTCGATGTGCAGCGAGAAACGATGATTATGAAGGGAGAGTTGAGGGTGGGGCAAAAGAGTACAGCTTTCTGCTCTCTCCAGCTCTGAAAGCTTGTCTCTGGGCTTTGGGATCGTGAGAGTACATTGAATGGGACTGTCTCTTCACTCTAGGGCCGTGGTGGAGAAGCACCTAGCAGCCTGCGTCAACCTCATTCCTCAGATTACATCCATGTGAGTCATAGGAGTTGGGGGATTAACCTAACCATAGGAGCTGACTGGGAACCTCTTTCCTGGGGAAAATTCTTTGCTCCCCACAACTCTCCCTCTCGGACCTTTCAGCTATGAGTGGAAAGGGAAGATCGAGGAAGACAGTGAGGTGCTGATGGTGAGAAACATTTCCCCCACCCAACAAAACTTCCCCAATCCCTGACCCCTTAAGGCCCTTGTCCCTCTTCTGAGAAACTGAACTCAGTCCCACTCCTTGATTCAACCATGTTTATCTTTGTACCTTAGATGATTAAAACCCAAAGTTCTTTGGTCCCGGCTTTGACAGATTTTGTTCGGTGAGAACTTTTGAGATGGATGGGGTGAGGGTGTGTACTGTGAGGTGTGACTTGCTGGGCAGTCTAAGGCTTGTGCCTGAGGGGGTGGTTTCCTTTGGGTAAATCTTTGAGTAATCCCCTTCCCCCACCTATCTATCTTGCAGTTCTGTACACCCTTACGAAGTGGCTGAGGTGATTGCATTGCCTGTGGAACAGGGGAACTTTCCATACCTGCAGTGGGTGCACCAGGTCACAGAGTCAGTTTCTGACTCTAGCACAGTCCTGCCATGATGAACCCTGTTCTGCCATCATCCCCCATGATACTTCAATGTCTTCTGACTTCCAGGTGATGACTGGGCCCCCAATAAATCCTGTCTTGGTTCTGTCTGCCTTTTGCCTGTTTTTTCCTTGTCATGTATGCAAATTTGTTGGGAGAGTATAAGTGCTTTTAGTCCCAGTATTCTCTACATCTTTCAGAATGACTCAGAGCTGCTAGATTTGTTTATTTCTCTTTATTTCAATCATACAGAGTCCGGGTTCCCTTATCATCCTCCCTCCTCAGTCTCTGCCCCCAGGGGTTAAATAATTTTAAAAAATATTTAAAAAGCTGTAACAAAATAACATCAAAGGAAATGGGAAGAAAGATGGGGGGGGTCAGGAATCATGAAGGAGGGCAGAGAAGAGAGCCTCTTCCCCACCCCCCACTCTTGGATTCCAGCCTGGGCACCAGGGAGAACTACCCCCTATCTCTCCAGGTACATCCCAGCTGTAGGTGAGGTCAGAGGTCAGGGTATGAAAGTGCCGGTGTATGTGAATGGGGAGGTGCGCAAAGGCAGGCTGTTCAGAAGATGCCGCCTCCCCCCCACTCAACCAGGTACTGCACAGAGCCATCAGGTCGTACTCTCCGAGCAAGGACCCGGACAGGGTCCCCTCGGGACAGGTAGCCAACCCCACCTCGGACTCCTCCCCCAGTCCCAGGAGACAAACTACGGCACAGAGGAGAAGAGGGTGCTGATCGTCTAGGAAGACCTGGGGATGGGGATGAGACTGAGGATGATGAGGCAGTCATCGAGTGGGGGGCACTTTTAGGGATGTCTGTGGGGAAACCAATGTGAAGTTCCAGGGGTGACCTAAGGAGAGAAGGCAATTGTTAAGAAACAGGCAGAAATGGAGAGCACATGTGAATCAGAGAAACAGAAAGAGTTAGAGACTAAGAGCCTTGAGCACATAGAGGGGAAGAGGAGCATCACTGGTAATAGAGGACAGCATCTCACCTGTCTGGGGGTTCACCGTCCCCAGAGGTCCCTGCGGTGCTGGCAGAGGGGTGGAAGGAAGCAAACATCCGGATGGGGCTGCTGGGATTGGAGGGGGGAAAGTCAGGACCTGAAGCAGGGGAACAGGACCTACTCCCTTCCCCAGAATACTGGCTACCAGACACTAGTTCTAGAAGTTGGTCTAGGACAAGAAGTGGGTACACAAGGGGGAGAGGGAAAAGAATTCTGGGTGAGAAAGTCCAGAAGATATGAATAATTGGGAGTGTATTTTCACGGGGGAGGGCAGAGGAACACTGACCTGGGCAGGCAGCGGGCATCTGTGGGCCGGAAGTTGTAACCGCTGCTGCCCTGGTAACTCTGGTTAGGGCTGGGGGGTGGCGGAGACACTGAGGCCTAGAAGAGGGGGCAAAGGACTGAGAGATAATCCTTGACTCCTTCCCACACCCCACCATTTGCTCCATAGGGTTCCCCCTTCCCCTGTACCTGCAGTGCCCTCTGCAGATGAGCCCGCTCCCTCTGCTCCCGGGGCTCGGGCTGATTGCGCACTGCTGAGGGTGGCCCCAGCTCCTCCACTTTCCCCTTCTGCCTCCTCCTCAGGGGCTCTGGCTCCGGCCTCCGGCGCTTCCCCAGGGGACGTGAGACCCCTCCCCCAGGGCCCTGCCCTGAAGGGAAGCTGTAAGAGGCCTCCTTATCCCCCCAGCCCCCTCCCGGACACCCCAAAGACCTCCCCATCTCTATACATATATCCCCCAGACTAACACCCTGAGAACTTTCCCCCATCCCCCCTGGACCAGTGACCTGGTGAGTGCTCCATCTCCAGTAGGGGGCTCCACAGGGGGAGGCATCCGAGCATGGAGACCAAACAAACATTTCCTCTTCTTAATCTCTCTCCCTGAAATGAAACTGGGGCAAGAAGATAAATGACATAGAGTCATTGCTGTAAAAAAGGTTCCCCCTTACCCCATTCCTTAATCCTTTTCAGTCACAGTCTTCCAGATGGATTACAAGCCCCTCCCCTTCCAGGCTTCCAATCTCCATCTCTTTCCAAGCCTTACCCTTGCCTCCTCTTCCCTCCAACTCACCGGTCCTTGTGGCTGTTGAGAGCAGAGAGAAGCTTGGAAGAACGTTCTCCTTTGGGGGTGTCTGAAAGCTGGCAGAAAGGAAAGAAAATGGGGCCAGGGGAGCAGTGATTTCTCTTCCCCTTTCCAATACATCTTCCTGTCCCATCCCAACCCCCAAAAGTCACTACCCCTTACCTCCCCCAGGAGCAAACTGTCCCAATTTTCAGAAGTGAAGGGGAGGATCTCACGATCAAAATCAAAGTATTTCTTCTTACAGCAAACACTGAGGTGATAGAGGACAAGATGGGCCACATCCACCCTGGAGAAACAGAGTTTTCAAGACCACAGAGGCATTTTAAGAGCCAGATGAGTCCTGAGGTGGGAGGCTGGGGCATATAGAGTGAAATACTGGGGGTGCAGAGTTACACTGAGGTCATGACCAATCCAGCTCACCAGCGAAGCTGTAGTCTCCGGACTTTCTCAGGGCCCCCACGACACACACAGCATTCAAATTCATAGAACCTGGACATGGGCAAGAGGAAGAACACACACCTTATGCAGGAAAACTATGCCATCTCCTGAAGGACTCACAAGCAAGGATGGGGTGAACAGGTGAGGTAACCCTGAAGAGGTTGGGAAGAGACTGGAGTGGAGAAGGGCGTGGGGGAAATGAGGGTGAAGCACAAAGACAGGGCATCATTGCCTCTTGGAAAGTCTCACCTGTCCCCATAGAGGAGGGGCTTGCTCAGACACTGGGTGCAGGCCTCATGGAACCACTGCAAGCAGCTCCGGCACTGCAGCATTTTCAGGTTCCACCTAAGGGGAAACAGGACTTCTGGCCTCTCGACTTACTGCAACCATCCCTATATCTGCCCCAAACCCTGCTTATCACTTACCTCCCATCCCCCTGAGTGCCACCCTCACTCTGTTCTTTCTCCTTCATTTCCTGGGGTCCACCACCACATCATTCATTGCACAGTCCGCTCCCCCTCATTACTCACTCCCCAGGGCCACCACAGTAACAGTAGCTCTGCTGTCGGTTGCTCAGATGTCCAGCATCCCAGTCCAGCCCCTTCAGTCCATATGGCAGAGACAGCTTCATACCCAGCATGGCCCGGGCATAGGGGCCCTTCTTCAGGGCACCACCCCTCTGCAGAGACAGAACAGGTGAGTGGCCTCAGGGGGGTGGGAAGAGGAAAGGCTTGTGAAAGGCTGTGGATGGGAGGCTCCCAGAGGAAGGGGTAACAGGGAGGTGCCTTTACCTTGGTGGCGATTGCAAAGACACATTGGCGGCACACCCAGGATGTGCCCTCTCCTTCTCCAGGGGCTGGAGCCCTGGGAACATGGCAGTCCTGGTGATAAGCTGAAGAATGATAATAATAGACCACTTATTGCATACCTGTGTGTACTTGGTATTGGGACTGGAATAGTCTTTACCCATCTCATTTAATCCTTGACCATGGTCTGGATGAGGGGATGCATTTTCCTTATTTTACAAGTCAGGGAACTGAGGCTCCTAGAGATTTAGGGACTTGCTCAAGGTCATATGGTTAGAAAAGGATGCATTTAAACCATCCTCTACCTGCACAGGTTACACCACCCCTTTCCATGGCTGTTTCTCCCTGGGCTTAAAGGGGATGAGGACTAAGGGCTAACCAGCCTGGCCAGAACAGTGGCTTGGGGACTAAGGCCAGGACAGGTGACAACATAGGGACTGTGCTGGAGGGAAGAGCAAGCTGGCCATTCAGGTGACCTGCCCTCTTACCATGGCGACACTTCTCACAGCTGACCAGCCGGTTCCCAGGGACCACAGTCTCAGAGCGACAGACACAACAGAGGAGTTCCTCCCCAGGGAGGGCAGCTGTGAGAGAACACAGTGTCAGGGGCCTGCCCTTAAGTCTCTTTCTTCTACCATAAGCCAGGTTTGTTTTCTATGGGATGTGCAATCTCAGGTCTCTAGAGTCTTACCAGGGCTAATGTCTTTCCATAGAACCAGAAACTGTGAATCATCCTCAAACTGGACCAGACACACCTCCCTAGCACTGTCCACCTGGAATGAGTGAGCATAGAGGATGAAATGGGAACCAGATTTAGATAAGGGGAACAGGAAAAAGGTCAGAGATAGAAAGTCTTACCTTTTTGATGGTGCCCAAGTATAGCAGCCCATCAGTCCATCTAGCCAGCACATCTTGACCCTCCCAAAGTCGAGGTCTGGGGCCAGAGGTGGGAGCAGGGGAAGCTGGGTCCCAAAGTGAGGAGGCACCAGAACGGCTCAGCCGGGGGGGCTGCGCCATTGCATCCTGGGGGGGGCTAGCCAGAAAAGAAATGGGGAAGAGGTTATGAATGCTGAGAAAACTTCCCCATTTTCTTTTTTTTTTTTCCCTGAGATGGAGTCTTGCTCTGTCAACAGGCGTACAGTGGCGTGAGATGGAGTCTTGCTCTGTTGCCCAGGAGTGCAGTGGTGTGATCTCAGCTCACTGCAACTTCTACCTCAGTTCAAGCAATTCTCCTGCCTCAGCCTCCCGAGTAGGTGGGATTACAAGCGCACACTACCACGCCTCGCTAATTTTTGTATTTTTAGTAGACACGGGGTTTCACCATGTTGGCCAGGCTGGTCTCGAACTCCTGACCTCGTGATCCACCCACCTCGGCCTTCCAAAGTGCTAGGATTAAAGGCATGAGCCACCGCGCCCAGCCAGCTTCCCCATTTTCTTTGCCTACTTTGCCGTCAAGAATGAAGGATCTGTGTCCCCAACTCCAAATCCTGAGACACCTGGATAGGAAACCATTGGGCACCCATCACCAGCTTCTTGAGTACTCTTCCAACTCTAGTGACTGGCTTTACTCTCCGTAACTGCCCTCCCCCCGACCCAAACCTAGTTCTCTAGTTTCCCAGCTTCCAGAGCTCTCCTGGGATATTATATCCTGGCCTTGAAATTTTAGGAGAAATTACGGTTGCAGAAGCAAAGGCTACAACTCAGTTTAGAGGTATCATAATTAGGGTGCCCTGTTGCCCAGAAATGTGGAGAAATGTGTTTTGGGACCTTTTCTGGAGATGTTTTTCAGGGCAGAAATGGCAGTGTCCCCAGGCCTGCGTGTCTCATTAAGAACAATCATCCTGGTGCCAGGTTATGTCAGGTCACCCTCAAATTCGGGGCTCCCTGCCCTCGGGTTAGACAACTTCTCTGAGTGCCCCGGGAGGGGGGCGTGTCCGAGTCCCGGTCTCTACTCCCCAGGACTGCAAGTCCGAGAAGGGACTTGCGTCGGCCCAACCCGGACCCCGTGGCCAGGGCAACGAGGCTCTCCCGCCCGCGCCCCGCGCCGACCCCCGGCTCCCTGCCCCCCACCGGCGCCTCCTGCCGCCTCCTTACCGGTGACAGCTGGGGCCGCCGGGAGCCGGGCAGGAGCAGACGTAGGAGACCTAGGCGAGTCCCCCGCGCGGAGAGGGCACGTCCGGGCGTCGGGGGGCTTGCAGGCGGAGGCCAGGGGGTCCCCAGGCCCAGCCCCTCCGTCCCGGCGGCTCTGGGGCGTATGACGCAGCAGCCAAAGCAGCGGCAGCGGCAGGAGGAGGAGGCGGCGGGGGGGAAGGAGGGGAGGGACGGACCGGTTGGGGGGAGGGTGGTGGGAGGGGAGGACGGGGGGAAGGAGGAGCCGGAGGGGGGGGCGGGCACCACCTCACCCCACCTCCCTCACCTCCAACAGGCCTGGAGGGCGCCGAGCAAGAGGCTGGCCCTCCGCGGTTTGGGGAGCGAAGAGTCGGACCCAGTAGGAGAGGGAATCCCCTCAGCCCCTTCCTCAGACCTGAGATTCGCCCTTGGGGCAGGAGGGAATCCCCCCTCCCGCCAGCCCGCCTCCGGACTGGTCCCCCGCCCCATGCCACATCCGTTAGCTGCCCCACCCCCCATGGTCACTCCGAGTCCCGCCCCCCGTCCCCAGTTCACGGCCCCGCCCTCCATTCACCCTTCGCGTTGCCCCCACCACGCCCTCCTCCCTCGCGCGCCCCGCCCTCCACTCGCCGTTAGCCCCAGCCCCGCCCTCCCCGTGGCTAGTCGCGCCCCACCCGCCGCCCTTTTGCGCACGCGTGTCCCCTCCTGCGCGCGGCACCTGGGAGGACTGAGCCCCTCCTTCACGGGCGGCGGCCGTCGACCGTTGGCGCGAGGAAGTCGGCGGTCGTGCGCGCCGCTTCCCGGGCACGTCCCGCCCCGTACTTCCAGGGCGGGCGCAAAGACTAAGGGGGCTAGGACCCGAGGCGGTGACGCCACCGAGAGCCAGCCAATGGGCAGCGGGCGGGCAGAGCCCCAGCGGTTCGAACGGAAAGGCAGGGAAAGGGCGGGAGGAAAGAGCCAGCAGTTTGGGAGCGCGCGCCAGCCCTGCCTCGGGACTGCGGGGTCCGGTCCCCATTTGCGGACACCCACCAAAGGACCGTTCTCTCCCTGGGGCTGGGGTGGCCGACTGAAGGGTGAAACTTAATCTATAACTAGTTACGATGGAAGGGGCGTGGATAGCTGGAGGGCACACCTCCCTGATGTGACGGACAGGGGAGGGGGCATGAGCAGAGGGGAAGATAATCCAGACCAGGTTCCAGAACCGGTGACAGGTGAAGGGAGAAAAACCCAAGCCTTCAGCCCCCGCTCCCGCCTCCCACACAAACGCTTGGCAGAAGGGACAGATCACAGGTCCCACCTTTACAGATAAGTATCTGCCTCCTTGGGCAAATGCTAATTAAAACCTTTATTTTTTTAAAAAAGTATTATTCTTTATTTGATAGCCCTGGAACATGGCGCCCTCCACCCAGTAAAGCACCCTTCAGCAACCCTCCCACCCCTCACCCAACACACACACACACACCCAACACACAAGATCTGGATCCGTCTTCACTTCCTGTTGGCTTGGGCAGTACCAATAACACACTGGTTCACCTGGGTATAGGGGGTGAGACAGGATAAAAAAGTTTGCAAAATAACCATAAGAACAGTTTTCTCAAGATCTCCTCCCATCCTCCAATGCTAGGGCTGCCCTCAGGAATACTGAAATAAGGCCTCCAAAGGCTGGTTCAGGCTGGTTCCAGTTATGGTTGGTTCTCCTTTCCACACTAGGCTTGGAGGAGGTGAAAAGGCCTGAGAGAGATGGAAGCCTCACAAGAAAATACAGGAGCAGAGAGAAGAGGCTTTCATTTCCAGCAATACTCTGTACTAGAGACCTCCAACCTCTCCCACTGCAAAATACTGAAACTGAGATAAAATAGTAATAGCAACTAGCACCCATTTAGGAACTAGCACTCCTTAGAAAATGGATCCGTTGAAGTCTGGGGGAGGAAATGTACAAGTTGAATCTGAAAAAAGACTACTAGGATTGTGTCTAAAGAACACTGGTGCCAACCTGAAGGAGGTTCCTAATGGCCAAATATGGGGCAATTTGAGCATCAGAAAGAATGACTGTGGCCGGGCTAAGTGGCTCACACCTGTAATCCCAACACTTTTGGAGGCTACAATGAGCTTTGATTGAGCCACTGAATTCCAGCCTGGGAAACAGAGCAAGACCCTATCTCAAAACAACAACAACAAAATGCTCAGATAGACATTCACTAGTCACCTTTGGAAGCTGTTAGGGTATCAACTCAATACTAAAAATCAATAAATAATCCAGCATTTATCTTGTTTTTCCTCTATGAACTCAGTTTCAGAGAAACCAAGTAGATGGCAAGGCAAATTTCTTTGTAAAAGAATCGTGACTAACCAACGCAGAACAACTGAGAAGACTGAAAATCATCATTTAAAAACCCCTTAATGAAATAATGGATCTAGGTATGGTTACTCCTGGATAAAATCACTAGGTGAAAAAGTCAATAGGAAGCTTTTAAGTGGATGGATCAGGCTGACAACACCCAAATATGATAAATAAGTCAAAGTATGGGGGAAAGAGGAAGCAACCAGCCACAATCCAGACAAGTATATTCTACAGGACAAATGACCTTCAACAAACAAATGACATAATAGTGGCAGCATGGGATAGGGTTGTTACAGATTAAAAGGAACTTGAGACATTTGAACCAAGTGGGTGGCCCTTGCCTGGACCCTGATTTGAACAAATCTATTATGTATAAAAGACACTTATGAGACAGTTGGGTGAAATTTAACATGAACTGGTTATTAGAGAATATTAACGTTCATGTTGGATGTTACACTGGTATAACATTAATAAAAAGAACATCATCATCCTCTAAAATTGAACTTACAAGATAAGGAAACCCTCATCAAAGTATAACACCAGATCAGGGTACAGGTGCTGGCTACTCCATGGCAACAATCAACGCTGATTGGGAGGAAGCCCAAGCACCACAGAAGGACATACCTGATCAGACCTCAAAGCCAGAGCCTATCAAAGGGCTATATGCTCAGGAGGAGGGTGAGCCAGGGACAAAAATTACCCAGAGAGGCAAACAATAAGGAAACCTTCTGACCTGCTTAACAATAGCAGAAGGGCCACTGGCTGACCCTCATGGGGTTTGGAGTCTGAATTCACACTATTTGAAATAGACTGAAAAAATTCTAAGTCTTTGATCCAGTAATCTCATTTCAAGGTCTATTTCCCTAGATGGTTACATGTAACTGAAAAAATACAAAATGATTTATGTACCGTTAACATGGCCTTGTTTGTAACTAAAAAAGGGTGGAAACAATCCAAGTGTCCAGTAGAGGGAACTGGTGGATAAATTTTGGTGCAACTACATAGTGGACTCCTAGGCAGACCTAAAAATAATGATCACTATGTGGTGATGGGGGGGAATCTTGGGGATTTTTGTGTTGTTTTTTTGAGACAAGGTTTTGCTCTGTCACCCAGGCTGAAGTGCAGTGGTAGGATCACGGCTCACTGCAGCCTCCACCTCCCAGGCTCAGGTGATCCTCCCATCTCAGCCTCCTGAGTAGCTGGAACTACAGGTGTAAGCCACTACACCCAGCTAATTTTCATATTTTTTGTAGAAACAAGAGTCTCACTATATTGCCCAGGCTGATCTGAAACTCCTGGGCTCAAGCAATCCTCCTGCCTCAGACTCCCAAAGTGTTGGGATTACAGGCATGAGCTACTGCACCCAACCAGTTTAGACCTTTTAGTCACCTTTTTTTTTTCAATCAGCTTTCTAAGGTTAAGTTAGTCATCTGTTTTTTAAAAATTTAAAAGCTAATAATTAAAAATGGAACCAGGTGAGTAGTGCCCCAGATGCCTGTGAATCTAAAACCTTTCTGGACAATGTGCTCCCTGGCCTAGAAGACAGATGGGTTCGAATGGAGAAGCCCACAACCACCCACAGGTACTGACAAGGCCTGGGAATGACTGGTGGTAATCGCACCTTGGAGGCAAAGCGTAGAGAGTTGAGGGACTCGGAGACGTTCTCTTCTAGTGGAGAAATGTTCACAAACATGAGCCTATGAAAAAAGAGAGTATGCCCAACCCCAGCATTAGGGGCCAGCAGAGCCTGGACAGGTCTCCACTGTTCCTTCTTTCTACCCCTCACCCCCATACAGGTCCTACCTGACCCCTTCCATCTGTCCCTTTCACTCACATCTTAGCACTGCCACCCAGAGAGTTCTGCAGCAGGTAGGTCAGTTTGCTGTTCCGATAAGGCACGTGGGACTCCTAGATGGTTGAGGTGGGGGCAGATGTTTAGGAATAAGCAGGGTTCCACATAGCCAACCCAAATGGCCCCAAGTCCCATATCTCCAATTCCCATTCCCACCTTGTTGCTCAGGGCCATGATAACCAGCCCCAGCGTGGACAGGCTGCTGTTAATAGCCTGTGTTTCCCGAAGGCGTTCCCGCTCCCCGGGGCCGAAGGCTAACCCAGGGTCAAGTCGCTCACTCCCAGCCAGGTCCACAAGACTGAGGGGGGCCCCACACTGCAGGCCTCTGCTGGAGTGCTCTCCAGTTATCTGTAGCTGGAATACGCTGTGGCTGCGTGATGACCGTTCATTCTGGGCTGTGCGGGCCACAGCCCGATTCTGGCGGGCCAGATGGAGCAGGGCCTCCACCTGAGGATGGGAACAGAAGGGACAAAAAGGCAGGCAGAAGTCAGTACATAGCAATGTATATGGCAATGAGTAAGAGCCCACTCCCACTCTCTTGAAGCTTTCTAGCCTGTCAAGAAACAAAATAAGATGCATAGTATGTCTAAAAATGGCAAGGAATAAAATCATGGAATAGGGAGCATATAAAGGCAGGAGGGGGTGCCAAGTTTTGACAGGATAGCCAAGGATGGCCTCACTGTCATAAGATCTCCAGGAAAGGAGCATCCAGGCAAAGACCCTGAGATGGGGAGCATGACTAGCTGGCTGAGGAACAGCCAGGAACAGCATGGCTAGGGTGAACTGAGCAAGCAGATGAGACCCAAGATGCAGTGACCCTCCCTGCTTTGGCAGATGCATCACTCCCTCTCCACTGCCCAGTTAAGGCAGATCTGCCTATAGCCCACAAGCCAAAACTGGATGTGGTAACCCAGCCTCAACTCGAACTTCATCCTTCAATTCTCTCCTACTCCTTTCTCCCTCTACCTCTATCTCGTGGCACCCTGCCCACCCCTCCCCATTCCCCA